AAAAAAAAAAGAATTATCTATACGAGATCAAACTGACAACAGCAACCCAGAAAGTTTGATGGGAAGCCTAGGGGCCAGTGAGTTGAAGATAACGGTGATGGAATAATTTGGAAAAGGATAGTGAGAACAGCAGCACAACTGGAAGAATGTAATCAATGTCACTGAATTGTACATATAGAAATTTCTGAAATGGTGTATCTTTGGCTGTGTATATTTTCACCAAAAAAAAAAAAATGTCCTCCAAGGTCGAGAAGGGAGAGTATTGACATGTCGTGGGGTTGTTAACCAATGTCATAAAACAATATGTGCATTGACTGTTTAATGAAGAACTGTTTGTTCTGTAAACCTTCACCTAAAGTAGCATTAAAAAATTTTTTTTTAAAAAACCACAACCAAATCCATTGCCATCAAGTCGATACTGACTCATAGCGACCCTATAGGACAGAGCAGAACTGCCCCATAGGATTTCCTAGGTTGTAATCTTTACAAAAACAGACTGAGACATCTTTCTCCCATGGAGCAGCTGGTAGATTCAAACCTCCAATGTTTTGGTTAACAGCCAAGCACTTAACCACTGTGCCATCAGGGCTCCATCTTCAAGACCATAGATAAGTATAAATGTAACAAATAGAAACAATAAACTTAAGATGGGAAATAACTTCAAGGGCTTTTCATAAACTAGTGTTTTCAAACACTGGACTGTAAAGATAACTTAGGGCTGCTAGTGGAGTGAAGGGGTATTTTCTGCCCTAGTGGGTGGGCTTCAAGCCCATTACCCCAGCTTTTACCAGAATATCTCAGATTTTGTATAATATATACTGGAGTTCTACATATAATTTTGTTGAAAGAAAAAAAAAGGTCCTACTGCTGATCAAAGTATAAAGAAAATTTGAAAACCTCTGCCTTAGATCATCTTTAATTGGAAGTCCAGGTTAAAGGCCTCTAAGTTTTCTTTCAGTGTCTATGATCTGTTTGAGAATTGTAGACTTAATGAAGGAGCCCTGGTGAAGCAGTGGTTAAGAGCTACAGCAAGCACAGCTGCTAACGAAAAGGATGGCAGTTCGATTCCACCAACCTCTCCTTGGAAATCCTATGGGGCGGTTGTCTACCCTGTCCTTACAGGGTCGCTGAGTCGGAATCAACTCGACGGCAATGGGTTTGGTTTGGCTTGGGTTTGGTGGCGCAGCAGTTAAGTGCTCTGCTGCTAACCAAAAGGTCTTCAGTTCAAACCCATCAGCCAGTCTGCAGGAGAAAGACCTGGCAATCTGCTTCTGTAAAGATTACAACCTTGGAAGCACTATGGGACAGTTCTACTCTGTCCTATAGAGTCACTATGAATCAGAATTGATTTGATGGCAATGGGCTTGGTTTTGGGTTTTAGACTTAACTGAGTTAACTCCTCTCTAAAGAGTTAGCTCAGATCTTCTTTCTCAGCATCTTGTAGAACTTCAGTTCCTTTTGAGACGGGAAATATATCTTCCCTGGCTTGCTGTAAATCTGCTCATTAAAGAGCTTTTGCCTGGTTCTGACTGTCAAGTTTGGGCAATTAATGTATCTTACGCCTTCGAGAATTTGCTTGTGGAGTTTGCTTGTCAAGCTTTTGAAATACTCTCTACTCAATAAGAGATAACTGGGGCAGCTTGTACCAGACTTCTTTGACGGAGAAACTTTGGGTTAAGGATTAGAAGCCCCGGGCTGAGATACTGGCTCCTCTCACTGTTAACCCTGTGGCTTTGGGCAAGTCCCTAATCACTCTGGGCTACAATTTCTTCTTGGATTTGTGGGAATAATGCCTTCCCTGCTTGTTTTCTAGAGTGAAGGGGCTCCCGTTGACCAGTCTCTTGCGTCTTCGACCCCAAGCACCTCCAGGTTACTGAGCCCCGGCAGTTCTGTCTTCGAAATGTCTTCCACTTCCGTCTCTTCTTACCTGCTCTCTGCCCTAGAGCAGGCCCTCCCAACTTGTCACCTAACTTGTTGCCATGACCTCCTGGTTCATCTCTGCCTTCAATCCTGTTGCTTCTCCAAGTCATTGTCCATACTCCTGCCTGCTGCTTTTCAAACTGTGAATCAGTAACCGTGTTTCTTCCCCAGAACTCTCAGGGGAAAGTTGATCTTTCTTCTCTTAATAATAGCTAACATTTACTGAGTGCTTACTGTGCACTCGGAGCAGCGTTAAACACTTTATGTGACTATTTCAGTGAACCTCACAACAGGTTTATGAGATGCAGTTACAGTTATTGTTGCGTGCTGTCGGGTCGATTCCAGCTCATGGTGACCCCATGTGACAGAGTAGAACTGCCGCACAGGGTTTCCTAGGCTGTCATCTTTATGGAAGCAGATCACCTGGTCTTTCTCCCGCAGAGCCGCTGGATGGGTTTGAACCACCAACATTTTTGTTAGCAGCCAAGTGCTTAACTATTGTGCCACCAGGGCCCCTATCAGTTTCATCTACTTGACTCTTTTGTTGACAGTCAAGCCTGCTTGCCTTCATCAGTCCAAAGAGACAGGGGTATTGCTAGTCACACTTCCTTGCTCCCTGTGGACAGTGTCTGTAAGGCAACGTCACTGGTCTCTGAGATATAAATACTCCCAGTATGGCCCCAGTAATGCTGAAAACCAAACCCACACCAAACCCATTGCTGTCAAGTCAATTCCAACTGATAGCCATCCCATGTGTTACAGAGTAGAATTGCCCCATAGGGTTTCCTAGGCTGTAATCTATACGGGAGCAGATCGCCAGGTCTTTTCTCTCGCAGAGCCGCTGGGTGGTTTCGAACTGCCAACCTTTTGATTAGCAGCCGAGTGCTTAACTGTTGCACCACCAGGGCTCCTTGCGGTTACAGTTATTATCCCCATTTTACCAATGAGGGATCTGAGGCTCAACATCACATAGCTGATACATAGCAGAGCAAAGCAGTGACGCCAGCATTCTGATCCCAGAGTGCATACTCCTGACCATTTCCATGCTGTGGTGCCTCCCTGGGTGGTTTCCAGGCCCTTCAGTGAGCTGCCCCTGCGTCCTCCCCTGCTCCATGTCACACCCGGCTCCTGCAGGCACCCTAGCCAATAGACACACGCAGAGCGCTGAGGGTACAGTGCCAAATCCTAGCCCAGGAGGATCTCACAGAATATTTGCTTATCAGGTAAACAAATTAAAGGACCTAGACAAAAGCACCCTGCTAACTGTAATGTTCCACACCAATGTTTAGATTTAATATTATGATGATGTTCTGGGTTCAACCTCAAATACACTGAAATTGTTTGTCTAACTCAGGGTTTCTCGACCTTGGCACTTTTGACATTTTGGGGTGGCAAACTCTTTATTGTGGGGGCTGCCCCATGCCTTGTAGGATGTTTAGCTACATCCCTGGCCTCTACCCACGAGAGGCCAGTAGCACACTCCAGGTTACGACAACCATAAATGTCTCCAGATGTTGCCAAATATCCCCAGGGGTGTAAAACCAAGGAAGGACACTGGCTTCACTCCAATTTCTCATTTTTACTCAACTTCTGGGTGAGTCCCTTAGCTTCTCCAGTACTTGGGTATCTCATTCTTGAACATGGTACTAATTTAGACTGCAGCGAATAATGTATTAAAAAGTATTCCAGAGGGATACTCTTTAAACCTTGAAACAAAACTAGCCCCTGGAGTCATCTTTAAACAGCAATGACAACAAAAAACCATTTAGCTCAAAGAATGTCATCCTCAAATATTGCAATTTTTAAAAAAATTATCTATAAGGTTGTTATGAGTCAGAATCAACTTGATGGCAGTGGGTTTGTTTTTGTTTTTTTCTTTTTTTTTTGTTTATATGAGACCAAACGGACAACAGTAACTCTAAAGACTTGATGAGAAATTTAGGACACGGTGAGTCTAAATTAATGGGGGCGAAACAGCTAGAGCAGAAATAATGGGAATATTAACACACTGTGAAAGATGTAACCAATGTCACTGAACAATAGATGTAGAAATTGTTGAATGGAAGAATGTTTTGATATGTATGTTTTTACCAAAAATAAAATAAAAATTTTTAGAAAGTATTCACATATAGCTAAATGCAATGTGGTATCCTGGATTGCTTTCTGAAACAGAAAAAGGACATTGTGGAAAACTGGTGAAATCCGAACAAAACTGGTGAAATCCGAACAAAGTTGAGTCGATAGCGTTAAGGCAGTGTTAATTTCTTAGCTTTGATAAGTGGTCATAGTTATATAGGATGTTAGCATTGGGGGAGGCTGGGTGAAGGCTATAGAGGAACTCTGTATAATCTTTGCAACTTTTCAGTAAATCTAAAATTAAAAGTTTTTATTTTACATTTTTCATATAAGTCATTTACTAAGCGGAAAATAAGGGGGCCCCATGTTTCAGACAGGAGCCCTGGTGGTGCAATTCTTAAGTGCTCTACTGCTAACCCAAAGGTTGACGGTTCAAACCCACCAGCAGCTCTGCAGGAGAAAAGACCTGCTGATCTGCTCCCATAAAGATCATAGCCTCGGAAACCCTATGGGGCAGTCCTATGCTGTCACATGGAGTTGCTATGAGTCGGAATTGACTTAAAGGAACCTAACAACAACAACGTGTTTCAGGCACAAGTAGAAACAGAGATCTGTGTTTCTTCATGCATCCCATGTGAGTTAAAGAAAGGTGGGCTAGAAGAAGAGCTCGTCAGATAAATGATTTGATTGTCTTGTGTGCATTTCACAGGCTCTCGATCCACATGGACGACGAACTGCGACATATTGCACAAAACTCTCTGCAGGGTTTACTGGTTGACTTCTCAGACTGGAGAGAAGATGTTCTGTTTGGCTTTACCAACTTCCTGCTGCGTGAAGTCAATGACATGCATCACACACTCCTTGATTCATCCCTGAAGCTTCTGCTCCAGCTGCTCACCCAGTGGAAACTGGTCATCCAAACTCAGGGAAAAGTCTACGAGCAAGCCAACAAAATTAGGAGCTCAGAGGTGGTTGTCTTAATCTCCTTGTGCTGCTGTCACACGAACACCACAAGGGGGTGGCTTTAAAGCACAGAAAGATATTTTCTCACAATTCTGCAGGCTGAAAGTCCAAATCAGGCCTTGGCCCAGTCAATTCCTTCCTTGTTGGTAGCCCTGGGCATGTCTTGGTTCTTTGGCTTATAGGCAATTGTCACGTGGCATCTGTCTTTCCCCCATTTTTGTGTGTGTGTCTCTGTGCCTATTCTGCTCTTTTTTTAACTCAGATGTGATTAGGTTTAGGATCCACCCTACACTGGTATGACCTCAACTAATTAATTGATTAATTGCATTACATTAGATTGCATTATGGAAAGTGATTACATTATGTTACATTACATCCACAGGTATATTGGTTGGGATTCCAGCACTCATTTTGGGAGACACAATTAACTCATAACAGTGGTTTTGACACTTTCCCCCACTAATTTGTATTCGTTTATATAGTGCATATGTAAATGAGTTGCAGCCTAGAGAATTTTTGGGCTTCTTATGTACAGCCATCGAGGAACTTTCTCCTTGGTGGTGGTCCTAGTTCTTCCACGTGCGTGAATTGTAACCAAGAAACTCAGGACATGGTTTACCACATCACCTCAGATCTGTCAACATGAACAGTGTCATTTAGGGAGTAGAGCTTTCCTCCAGAGAATTATGATTATAAATCTTTTCATAAGAGCAAATCACTACAGAAATAGATAGGGAGATGGATGTATAAAAGTTAGCTGTCCACCAGTTTTTTCCTAGGCAGTGGTGTCAGATATCACAGAGAGGAAAATGTGATTTTGTGGTCACTTTGTTCTTTGATGCCTCCGTCCTGAAGGGTAGAAAATTACTGATGCTCCCGGTGAGCATTTTGGAGAGCAGGGTGGGCAAGGAGTGTTGTCCGAGGAACAGGGCAGTGACCACAAGGCACTGGTGACGAGCAGATAGAGAAAGGCTCTGGCTGGACGAGAGCGGAACTAAGGGTCCGAGGTTGCTGGGGTTTGGGCGGCCTCCCAGTGTTTAGGAAACAACTGGAGTCCCGGACGGGTTACCCGCAGAGATGGCGTTCAGATCCCCCCTCCTCTGTGCTCTACACATGCCAAGAGATGAGAGGTCAGAAAACAGGGCTTCAGGCTGCTTGTAAAAGGAAAACAGAAATTAAGGTGGAATCTACCTCATTGCCTGGCTTGTTTGGAGAGTTCCAGAACCCATCTCATAAATGTTCTAAACCTAGACTAGACTCTGACACACAGACAGTCACACAAATCTGAATGGAAAATGTTTGCAAATTCAAGGAGCCCTGCTGGCACAAACGGTAAAGCAATGGGCTGCTAACTGGAAGGTCAGCGGTTCAAACCCAGCCAGCAGCTCCACGGGAGAAAGACCTGGCTATCTGCTCCTGTAAAGATTACAGCCTAGGAAACCCTATGGGGCAGTTCTACTCTGTCACATGGGGTCGCTATGAGTCGGAATTCACTCAACAGCACCCAACAACACCAACAAAATTCAATTTAATAGTATCCAAAAGCCTTTAGATAATTTAAGTCAACACAGATCAGGCCCCTTTGTACATACAGTATCATCTCGAATGGTATGAGAGAGAAGCAGTCTCATTTTTATTAAAATTAACATGAATAGCCTTTGAAAAGTTATTCTTTATCAGAGGTAACAGATGGTGGATGGTATTCCAAAGCAACGATTGATCTGAAAAAAAAAAAAATGAAAAGGATCTATGATAGTTCATGTGTAACAATGAATTCACAGACACATCTAATTCTAAGCCAGTGTGATTCGTTTTAATATGACACGGTCAAATTCTGTCAGATACGTTGCAAGATGTACGCAGAAGAGGGTTTTCTTCTTCTTCTTCTTCTTCTCCCCTTGTGGTTTTTCTAAATATAGACTATCATTCTTATTCCACGACAGCTCATTCCCAACGGATCCAGCCACAGAACGCAGTCAGAGCGTGGCCCCCACTGCAGCGTCCTCCACGCCGTCGAAGGGTTTGCCCTGGTTTTGCTCTGCAGTTTCCAGGTCGCCACACGCAAGCTGTCCGTTTTAATCCTCAAGGAAATCCGAGCCTTATTTATCGCCCTGGGTCAGCCTGAGGTATGAGTTACCCCTCTGAATTTTCTGATACCTTTCTTTTAACAGTTTTGAAGTTAGATGAACATTAGCAATAGGTAGTGCAACGGTTCAGCCCTCAGCTGCTAACCGAAAGGTCAGCGGTTCAAACCCACCAGTGGCTCCATGGGAGAAAGACCTGGTGATCTGCTTCCGTAAAGATGACAGCCTAGAAAACCCTATGAGACAGTTCTGCTCTGTCGCATGGGGTCGCTGTGAGTCAGAATCGACTCCACAGCCCCTAACAACAACACATTGCTATTTTATGTCACACATGGTATCAGCAAATATTTTTTGATACATTGTTGGGTTTTTAATTATGTAATATGACTCAGTGTGCTTGAGGTAAGTCATATATTCTGAGAGGGGTAGAAAAAGATAACTTGGTTCTCTGGAAGATGGCACTTCGCTCAAGAAATGAAGAATTTTAAGATTCATTTTGGTTATGGGTGATTTTTCTTCACAGTGTTCTTCATACGTGTAATGAAGAAGATATTATTAATTTGTACTAGAGAATAAACTTGAAAAGATGATGTATATTCCACTGAAGATGGTCAAGGTCCCCAGCATTCTGACCAAGGGAAAGTTGTTTAATTTCAACGATGGGAGACAATGGCACCACATAGAAACCGTCCCCTTAAGTTGGGGGAAGCGCGTCCGTTAGGAAGCATGGTCGGCTCCAGCTCCCTCACGCACCTGGTCAGGTGTTACAGCTCAGTAACCGCAGACACAGGTGGCCAAGTCCTAGGCATGAGTTGATAAAAGAAGGACCAGCCCTTTATGTCACATATTCCTTTAGGAAAATGCCATTTTCCATTTTTCTCAAGGGAGTGAAGTGGTCTTGGTTTTATGAGATCCCCAATCCCATCATGGACCAAGCTCACAACAGTTCAGGCCATGTCTTTGCCTAGCTTTCTGGTATACCTCAGGACCACATCTCTGGCATCTGATAAATGGATCTGTAAGACAGGCCCTATTTTCGTAAACCTCCCTTCAGTCTCTAACTATGACAACAGCGACAATAATAACAGTAATTACTGCGTATGCGCCCCGTACTCTGCTGAGCCCTTTTCACGTTATCTCCTTTAGTCTTCACAATAACTTAGGAATTGTTGTTGGGTGGTGTCGAGTCGATTCCGACTCATAGTGACCCCATGTAAGACAGTGGAAATTCCCCATAGGGTTTCCTAGGCTGTAACTTTTACAGAAGGAAGTCGCCAGGCCTTTTTTCCAGCAGAGTAGCTGGATAGGTTCAAACCTCCAACCTTTTGGTTAGCAGGCAAGCACTTAACTGTCGTGCCACCGGCTCTCCTTTTTACTTAAGAATTAGTACTGTTTTTATCCCGATTGTACAGATAATGAGACTGAGGTTTAGAGAGGTTAAATGGCTTGCCCCAAATCAACAGCTAGCATGTGACAGAGCCAGAATTCAAACCCAGCTCTACAAGTAAACATCCCCCTAACCACCCGTAACCAGACCGGGTCGAGGATGTTTCTGGTAGGTTGCCTTCTTTGACCAGCCATAACCTTCTTGAAATCTTGACACCTTCTCACTTATGCATGAATATGTACATTCCTCAAGTGCAGCCACACCTGTCTGTCAGTGAGGTTTGCATACTGCTACGATGCAGAGCTGATTTCAGCGGAGCTTCCAGACTAAGATGGACTAGGAAGAAAGGCCAGTCAGCCAGTGAAAATCCTGTGGTCACAGCGGTCCAGTCCCATTGTGCATGGGGTCACCACGAGTCAGTGGCCCACTGGAAGGCAGCTAACAGCAACGTACACATCCCGAGAGCCTCTGCTCTCCTAAGGCTTCTAAGTAAATAATTTTGTATCTCCTAGCTTCTCTTTGATAAAGAATGACAAGCGTATACAACTTCACATACATAGATACTGCCCATGCAGAAGAATTTCCTATAAGATGCTCTCTCGTGCCTTTTCCAATGTGCTTCTTTTATCAAACCGATGTCACAGCAGAGATAACACCATCCCCAGTATAGTTTTATTTGGAACGGAAATTCACTGATAGAACGACGACGTTATCTGTTATTTTAGCAGACCAGTGATTAAAATAAATAGCAATTTAATGGCCTGACAAAGCTATATCATGCTGGTATTTAGATTCTTTTGCACATGGGTGAGTCTTTGAAACTCAGGTGCGTATCTTTCAAAACGATGTGAAATTGGAGCTGTAATTATCTTCCGCGAAACTTGAAAGAATCGGCCCAGAATGGCAGGGGGTTTTCTCTGCTGCCTTTGAGCCGTCTCGGCACTGACTTTCCTGTGAGAAAAACCTTATCACTGTCTCGCAAGCCTCTGCTTCATGTTAGACAAGGGGTGGGGGTGGGGGCGATGGATCCATTTTTCCCGTGGAGGGTAATTGCCTGTCCTTTGCCCAGGATGACGACAGGCCTATGATTGATGTGATGGATCAGCTGAGTTCCTCCATCCTTGAAAGTTTTATTCACGTGGCCGTTTCGGATTCAGTAAGTACATATTTGATCCTAGTCACTAGTAATCCTTACGTATAAGCTCGGGACCGATCTGAAAAAGAGAGACATAGGAATTTAATGTGGAAGAACTCTCGGGTTTGATGTCAGATTGATAAACCGACACAAAGGTATTTATGAAAACGAAGTGAGCTTTTCAAATGCTGGCTTAGGGAACACTCAGATCAATTGCCAACAACACTTGAGCCTTAGGATTAGAGATAGTATTTTTAAATTGCCGTTTCAAAAAGAATGGCTCAGGATTCTTCAATAAAACTAACACGTCCCATTCAATGACCTTCACGATGTAACCCATTTAGTGGTGCTGTGCTGCTTACACAGTACTTTCACGTTTATTACTTACTTCTTTGACCCTCACAGTTATTACACTCGGAAACACTCAGTGGTAAACCAAAGCCGTCCCCTGAAGTCTACTTATCTTAATAGCTTATCTTAATTAGCGAAGTATGTCTGCTTTGAGCATTGTGCTCTTTCAAAGAACTATCTAAAAAACCAAAACCCGTTGCCACTGAGTCGATTCCAAGTCATAGCGATCCTATAGGACAGAGTAGAGCTGCCCCATAGAGTTTCTAAGGAGCAGCTGGTGGATTCGAACTGCCAACCTTTTGGTGAGCAGCCAAGCAAAAGGTTGGATGGGAAGCTTAGGGGGCAGTGAGTTTAAGGTAATCGTGGTGGAAGAAAGTGGAAAAGGACAGAGAGAATGGTAGCACCACTTCAAAAATGTAACCAATGTCACTGAATTGGCCATGTGGAAATTGCTGAAATGGTGGGTCTTTGGCTGTGTAGACTTTCACCAAAATAAAAAACCCTTAAGTGGCAGGACCACAGTCACACAGAAAGGAGTTGAAGCCAGGATTGTACTTGTTTGCACTCGGAACCTGGGAGACCGTTATCTGCTACACAAATATATTCTTCCCTGTAAAAAGCATATTGGCAGCTTTCAATTTCCTGAACAGTCAAAGGGGAATTGAAACTGACTTTAATTATCTGATTTTCTAAAAATATAAAAGTGCAGCCATGGCCCGTGGATTCATTTCAGCTAAATAGCTGAAGAGAAAATAAAACCATTGCTGCTGAGTCGATTCCAGCTCATAGCAACCCTATAGGACAGAGTAGAACTGCCCCATAGCGTTACCAAGGAGCAGCTAGTGGATTCGAACTGCCCGCCTTTTGATTAGCAGCCGTAGCTCCTGACCACCATGCCACGAGGGCTCCTTAGGCAGGGCATATCTGGGACGGCTTGCCGAGTCCACACTGCCGATGCCCCACGCAGAAACTTGTCATATACGTGAAAACGAAACCTTAAGATGCTTGGAAGCTTTTCATGGCCTTTTCTAACTGAGACGGAACACAGGTCTCCCTTTTTAGGAACTCTGCTCTTGCTTCTGAGAACAATAACAGGAATAATTGCCAAGCCCTGCAGCCCTTAACAGTGATATGAAAGTAATCCCACCTCTTTTAGAAATTTAAATTGTGCTAACATGGAATGGTCCACTTTGGTTGTTTTAAATGCATATTTTATATGCCTACAGATAATAAAATTACATTGTGTTCACGCGATTTTGTTCTGTGTTTATCAGAATTGAAATATTGAGCCGGGGTAACTAAGAGGGAATACTGCCCTTGGGAAGATACACACACAGAAAGGGGAGATGAGGGATGAAGAAAGGAACTTACCCATTAGGGGGCCTGCATTTTTTCTTTTAATTTTAATTGTGGTAAATACATATGTAACAAAACATCCACCATTTCAACATTTTTTACATGTACAATTCAGTGACATTAATTACATTCAACATCTTGTTCAACCATCACACTATCCATTTCCAAATTTCCCCATCACCCTTAGTGGGAGCTCAGTGCCCCCTAAGCAATGACTCCTCCTTTCTCCCAGCCACCCCCCACCCCTGGTAATCACGAACGGTGTTCTCTATGTTGTTGTTGGGTGCCGTCGAGCCGATTCTGACTCATGGTGACCCCATGTGACAGAGTAGAGCTGACCCATAGGGTTTCCTAGGCTGTAATCTTTACGGGAGCAGATTGCCAGGTCTTTTTTCCCCGTGAAGCAGCTGGTGGGTTCGAACTCACCTTTGGGTTAGCAGTCAAGGGCTTAACCATTAGCGTCACCAGGGCTCCTTCTTGATCCCATACACTTGCCTATTCTAGATGTTTCATATGATTGGGATCAGACTGCTTTTGGCCCATTTTCTCACCGGCAGAGCCCTGGTGGCCCAGTGGTTAAGAGCTGCAGCTGCTAACCAAAAGGTTGGCAGTTTGAATCCACCAGCCGCTCCCTGCAAACCATATAGGACAGTTCTACTCTGTCCTATAGGGTTGCTATGAGTTGGAATCAACTTGGTGGCAATGGGTTTGGTTTGGTTTGGTTTGGTTGTATCTCACCGCCATTGTAACCTCTATGCCATAAATTAAGGAGACAGAGACTCCGGGCTGTTCAGTAATTTTCCCAAGTCACGCAGCTTTGGGCAGAGCCAGCTCTGGAATCTAACCTCTGGCTCTGAAGCTCAAGCCCTGCACATTGCACCCCATTAGCCACTGAGGTCACTACTGCAGCGCTCGTATCCAGGGGAGCTCGGAGCCCTAGCAGACAACAGGGTCACTTGAAACGCCTGGCAAACATGGAGGCATTCTCCTCTCCTGGCCCAACAGCTCGATTATTTGAAAACTGCTCTCCACTAAGCTTTGATATTGTGACTCAAGAGATCATGAAATATAAGAACTTGATATCTATCTATTTCTGTGTGTGTGTATATAATAAATATATATCCCATTGCCGTCGAGTCTATTCTGACTCATAGCGACCCTGTAGGACGGAGCAGAACTGCCCCATAGGGTTTCCAAGGCTGTAGTCTTTATGGAAGCAGACTGTCACATCTGTCTCCTGTGGAGCAGCTGATGGCTCCATATATATATGTAATATACATATGTATATATGTATGTATATATATTTTTAAGGAGCCCTGGTGGTGCAGTGGTTAAGTTCTCGGGCTAACCGAAAGGTCGGTAGTTTCAAACCCACCCAGCAACTCCACCCTTCTCCGTGGGAGAAAGACCTGGCGATCTGCTCCCGTAAAGATTACAGCCTAGGAAACCCTGTGGGGCAGCTCTACTCCGTCATGTGGGGTCATTATGAGTCAGAATCAACTTGATGGCACACAGCAACGACAACTATATGTATATTTTACCTTTCTAGGGGTTCTGGAATGTGTTATTTTAGCTTGGAATCGTAGAACAAGAATAAGTAGGTGTCTTACCTCAAAATCATGAGTTGCATGCCCTTCACAGGAGGGGTTACCCTGAGCCCTCTCTAAGTCAAAGGAAGGCATTTCTGTCTAAGTGAAGATAAAAAGAATCATGGCTAAGTAATACTAACTAAAAACAAAAAAAAACCAAACCCACTGCTGTCGAGTCAAACTTGACTCATAGCAACCCTATCAGACAGAGTAGAACTGCCCCATAGGGTTTCCAAGGCTGTCATCTTTACGGGGAGCCCTAGTGGTGCAGTGGTTAAGAACTCAGCTGCTACCCAAAAGGCCGGCAGTTGGAATCCACGAGCAGCTCCTTGGAAGCTCTATGGGGCGGTTCTACTCTGTCCAAGAGGCTCACTATGAGTCGGAATAGACTCGACGGCAACAGTTTAATCTTTACGGGAGCAGACTGCCACATCTTTCTCCCGTGGAGCGCCTAGTGGGTTCGAACCGCTGACCTTTTGTTTAGCAGCAAAGCACTTAACCACTGCACCAGCTGGGCTCCTGTGAAATCATCTGTCATTGTGGTCTGTCAAGTCAATTCCAGCTCATAGTGATCCAGTAGGACAGCGTAGAACTGCCCCATGAAATGATCTATGATCTAGTTGGTTCTAAATCCTATAAAATGCTGAAACTATTCAGGACAAGTGTGCTTCAGAAGCCACGCTAGTTTTTCCTCAGCTATTTTTACCCTATTGAGGATTCATGAGGAGTTTCGGAAATTTTTCTGTATACTTGTGACATTTTAAAATAGTCTGATTTCCATCCCTGTACTATAGGGTCGCTATGAGTTGGAATTGACTCGACGACAGTGGTTAAACTGGGTTTAGTTCTAAATATATGCAATACAGGGATTTAAAAAAAACACAGTTACGAATCACATAGATCAATAACTTTTCATCATTGTAAAATGGTAGACTTATGATCAAGTTTAAATTAACTTACATTATATAAGGAGTCCTGGTAGCTCAGCGGTTAAAGCGCTTGGCGGCGAACCGAAAGTCAGCAGTTTGAACCCACCAGCTGCTCTGCGGGAGAACGATGTGGCAGTCTGCTCCCGTAAAAATTACAGCCTTGGAAACCCTATGGGGCAGTTCTACTCTGTCCTACAGGGTTGCTATGAGTCAGAATCAACTCAACTGAATGGCAATGGTTATGGGTTTAATGTTTTATATTTGTTCAACAAGTATTTGGTGACTGTCTTCTTGTATCAGTGAACAGTGCTATGTGACGTACAAAAATGACAATATCTGACCCCCGTTTTGAGCTTTTCACTCACGCTGCTTACCGTCTGTCATAGGGAACACTAATGAATACAAAGCAATCCCCATACAGTAAGTACAGGACCAGCAGCTCCAATTCAAAGCTGTCCCAGTGTCCAGGCGGTCGGCCGTCCAGGCGTCCAGGCAGTCGGCCATCCCGGCGTCCAGGCGTCTAGGCGGTCAGCCGTCCAGGCGTCCAGGTGTCTAGGCAGTCGGCGTGTGGAGGGAGGAGCATGGAGAACGAGCTGTGACGAGGCCGTATGATGTGCAGGTGGGCTTGGACTCACTGCCCGTTTCTCACCTGCAGGCCACCTTACCGCTGACCCATAGTGTGGATCTGCAGTGGCTGGTCGAGTGGAACGCAGTCCTGGTCAACAGCCATTACGATGTAAAAAGCCCTTCCCACGTCTGGATCTTCGCCCAGTCTGTCAAAGACCCCTGGGTGCTCTGCCTCTTCAGCTTCCTTCGGCAGGAAAACTTGCCCAAGCACTGCCCCACGGCCCTCAGCTACGCCTGGCCCTATGCTTTCACTCGGCTCCAGTCCGTCATGCCTCTGGTGGACCCAAAGTAAGGGATCCGAGTTTTCCCCTCCATTCTGCTTGTTCTACCATTTCCCTTCCTAAATTTTCATTTTGTATATGAGAGTTTGGGATATTATAATCCTCCCTAGTTTCCACCCAGAGGCACATCGGAAGAAAGGCCTGGTGATCTACCTCCAAATAATCAGCCATTGAGAACCCTATGGAGCACAGTTCTACTCTGACAGACATGGGGGCACGTGAGTCAGAGTCGACACCAGCAGCTGGTACTGGTATTTTCTGAACTTCTCATTCAGAATTCCCAACGTTGAGAGAAAACTGATCAAAAGTTCTTGTCTAGAGCTAATTATCTGTTTCCTTAATAATCAATATGATTGTCTGACTATACAATCTCAGACCCTTAATGGCGTGCTTAAATTGCCTGTTCAATAACCTTGACAGAAAGTTCTTCAACTCTGTTTGCCCATTCTGATGATCTTTATTTAATAACTGATAGTTAAAATCAGGAACTTAGTTTCTGTCTTATTTTCAACTCCGTATTTCTAGCAGCCCGATCAACGCCAAGAAAACCAGCAGTGCCGCCAGCAGCGCAGACAGCTATGTTACCTTGTGGAGGAACTACCTTATTCTTGGCTTTGGAGTCGCCAAGCCCAGCGTCATGAGCCCCGGCCACTTACGAGCTTCCACTCCAGAAATCATGGCGACCACGCCCGACGGTACAGTGAGCTACGATAACAAGGTGACGGGCCATGCCTCAGAAGAATTACTCTGTAAGGTTTTTTTAGCTTGTTTGTCTGGAGCCCGCAGTGGACACGGCACTGTGCCTGCCATCCTGACTCTATGGGGTCCGGTGTTCACCCTACACATTTCTAAATCCCCTTGAGCAATGGTGTGAATAATTTATCCTTCCTCCCTGGCAAGTGGGAAGCAGAAGATAACCAGAAGTTATGAAACTTGCTTCAGACCTTAGAGTGACCTGTATGTATTTATTAAAATTCCTTGAGGCTTGATCTGGGTCCTGCAAACCACATCTCTCTCACTCCTCACTAAGTATTAGGTTATTTGAAAGTTAAAGATAGTTTTGTAGGCTTAAGTCGTTCATATAAAGAAGGCTGTTGGAATAAAAAATATTGTTTAGAATTTGTGTCCCAGTAAGACATGTGTTCATTGTGCGGTATTAAATTCATGGGTTTTTGTTGTTGTTGTTGGTTGGTTGGTTGGTTGGTTTTCTTTTTCCTGAAATGTTGGCGGTGCTTTGGGGTGTGATCCAGTGCTTTGAAACTGTGATAATGGAATCCTCATTTGGTTTCAGGAACCTCGGTTACCGCCTTGCCCCCTTTTCACTTTTCATCAACTCGTTTCAGGCCATAGGCACCCCGTCGGTGGGCGTTCTGTTAAAGCAGTTGGTACCTTTGATGAGACTAGAGAGCATTGAGATCACGGAATCACTGGTCTTGGGATTTGGAAGGACGAATTCCCTTGTTTTCAGGTACAGTGGCCTGAATGAGTTGTTCTAGATGCGTGCATGCCGCTGTGATGGTGTTCCTTGTTTTCCCTCAGGTTTGAGTTGGCCTGTCGGTGGCTGCCTAGGGGTGTCTGGGCTGTGCGGTTCCCTTTACGTGTTTGTCTTATTGTAGATTCCCTGGTGGATGGGCGTGTACCATCGTTCCTTGCAACTGCCTTGCCTTTAACTTTTAGTCACTGCAGCTTTGATGGTACCACTCAGATTTTATCCTACTTGCAAGCTTTGTTTTAGATAAATGAAATAGGAGCCCTGGGGGTGCAAAGGTTAAGAGTTCTGCTGCTAACTGAAAGGTCGGCAGTTGGAAACCACCAGCTGCTCCTCAGGAGAAAGACCTGGTGGTCTGCTCCCGTAAAGATTACAGCCTAAGAGACCCTGTGGGGCAGTTCTACTCTGTCACATGGGGTCACTATGAGTCGGAATTGACTCCAGGGCACACAACAGCATAAATGATATACAGTGAAATAATGCAGTCTTGAGTCCCAGTTGGCTAGGCTGTTCAGAGCCTGTAACAATCAAAATAATAGTTTCTGCTGAGTAACCATTTACAGCAGTATTCTCTTTCAGCTGTGTTCCCTTATGTTAGTAAAGATAAAACCAGCACATCTGGCCGTCTCTATTCCTTATTTATTTCAAATTTTTTATCAAATAACATTCCATCTGAGGCAGTGTCAAAGCTTTTCGAAAGAGATCTCGTGAAGTGTTAGTTCACACTGCCTCTAATGATGTTAGCTAAGCAAAGAAAGCCTAGAAGGACAAATCTTAAAAATCTCTCATGTAGAAAAGGGAAATCTCCAGGCAGGCCTCTGTGAGAAGCATTATCCCATTGCCACCCTACTGATTGCCATCAAGTCAATTCCGACTCACAGCAGCCCTATAGGACAGAGCAGAACTGCCCCTTCCAGTTCCCAAGGCTGTAAATCTTTACAGAAGCAGGTTGGCGCATCTTGGTCCCGCGGAGCCGCTGGTAGATTCAAACAGCCAACTTTTCGGTTTAGCAGCCAAGCGCTTAACCACTGCACCATCAGGGCTCTAAATATTTGAAAAGTAAAGGAGCCCTGGTGGCTCAATGACAAAGCACTCAGCATTCACTGAAAACTTGGCAGCTGGAACCTACTCACTCAGCGTTTCCGTGGGAGAAAGACCTGGTGATCTGTTCCTGTAAAGATTACAGCCTAGAAAACCCTATGGGGCAGCTCTATTCTGTCGCATGGGGTCACTATGAATCAGAAATAACGCAGCGACACCCAAAAGCAACAACAATAAAGATTTATAGATGTTTTAAAACAATTTTAGAAGATCTGTTAAGTTATTCACATGTAGTCAGGTTTTATCCTTGAAAAAGATAATTGTAGGTTCTGTCTCCTTGAGCACCAATTAGACAGTGTTTAACTGGTTAAAAGTGAATTAGTTACAGCAAAGAATCATACATAAATACTACAGGAAGATGACAATAACAATTCCATAGAATAACAGCATGCTTTCCCAAAGAACCCGAGGCTTTTGTGTATTTCTTAGCCTCTTAATATTCCTGTAAGTAGGTAAGATTATCCAGCTGACTAGCCGTGTGCATGTGGGAGACTTAATTTCTCTGGGCCCCAGTTTTCTCACACATAAAATTGATGTAATAAAGAAAACAAAATAATGTTTATCTCTCTAATAAAAAAAAATAGTATAATTAAAAAAAAAAAACATAGACCAAGCATAGAAGCTTCATAGACACATCCAAACCCCCTGAGTGACCAAATTACTGGGCTGAGGGCTGTGGGGGCCACAGTCTCGGGGGACATCTAGCTCACTGGCATAGCATAGTTTATAAAGAAAATGTTCTACATCCTACTGTGGTGAGTAGCATCTGGGGTCTTAAAAGCTTGTGAGCGGCCATCTAAGATACTCCACTGGTCTCACCCCATCTGGAGCAAGGGAGAATGAAGAAAACCAAAGACACAAGGGAAAGATTAGTCCAAAGGACTAATGGACCACAGCTACCACGGCCTCCACCAGACTAATTCCAGTACAACTAGATGGTGCTTGGCTACCACCACCGACTGCTCTGACAGGGATCATAATAGAGGGTCCTAGACGGAGCTGGAAAAAAATGTAGAACAAAATTCTAACACACACACACAAAAAAAGACCAGACTTGCTGGTCTGACAGAGACTGGAGAAACCCCAAGAATATGGCCCCCAGACACCCTTTTAACTCAGTACTGAAGTCACTCGTGAGGTTCACCCTTCAGCCAAGATTAGACAGGTCTGTTGGGCAAACAGTAGCACATGTGAGGGACATGCTTCGTAGTTCAGTCATGTATACGAGACTAACGGGCGCACCAGCCCAAAAGCAAAGACGAGAGGGCAGGAAGGGACAGGAAGACTGGACGAATGGAAACAGGGAACCCGGGCTGGAGAAGGGGAGAGTGTTAACACATTGCAGGGTTGGCAACCAACGTCACAAAATAATTTGTGTTAATTGTTTAATGAGAAACTAATTTGTTTTGTAAACTTTCACCTAAGACACGATAATTTAAAAAAAAACTCAAGTTTGTCGTGCAGATTAAATGTGAAACTGCACGTAGTAAATATCTGGCCAAAGGTAGCTGTTAGGCAGAGGAGACCATTAGTATTATCACCACTTCATTGATGAAGAAATTCTAGCATCTGAGAACCCGTTACACTGGAGAAATTGGGGGGTAGAACCCAGGCTTTCTGTCTCTCTGTGCAGAGTGCCATAGAGCTTACCTTCTGTCCTTGGATTTTTCTGGAGGGTGATATCTACTAGCACAAAATACCCTATCAGAAAGTAAAAGGTTTTCAAACCTGGCACATACTATAGACAAAATACCAATATACTAGTGCGGTTACAGGCAAGAGCTTATCATTTTGTCTGCTTTGACTTAGCAGTTCAGAAATTATCTCCTAAAGAAGACAGTCAATTAGATTAAAAACAAAAACAAAAAACCCGTTGCCGTCGAGTCAATCCTGACTCATAGCAACCCTATACGACAGAGTAGAACTGCTCCATAGGGTTTCCAAGAAGTGGCTGGTGGATTTGAACTGCCGACCTTTTGGTTAGCAGCTGAGCTCATAACCACTGAGCCACCAGGGCTCCATCAATTAGATTAGCAGGTATAAAACAGAGAATTTGAAACAGTGAGGACAGGGGAAGTGTGTATATGTAATAGAAGATACACATAAATGTGATTGATACTTTTATTTTTATTACACGAGAGAGAAGGTCTCAATGGGAACCTCACTACTATAGTACTCGCCATAATTTATATTTATCTTGTAGCTCAAATAAGGGAATTTAGCTCTGAAATTGCAAAAAAAAAAAAAGAGTTCATTTTAAAATAAACTACAAGGCAGTCCCCTGAGCACAGGTCCCAAAGGCACTGTCATAGTAATTGCACCTGCCTCTTTCCCTGTAGCTGGACTGAAAATTTCTTGTCTGCAGGGATTCTGTTCTACTGATCTTCAGTCTCACAGTGTGTAATAGAGTGCTTTGATGTTATTAAGTGCCTGGTAAATACTGTTCATTTAATTGTTCAGATAGAGTTTTCTGCCCTGAAGGTCTTCAGAACTTTAAATCAAAATCAAATCAACAAATATTGTTTGAACTTAAGTTATATGCAGAGCACTGGGATTACGACCAGTAATACAAAGATTAGACCAGTATCTATCATATGCTTCACCAAGAGACTGGGAACTAGAGAAGCTGGGGGAAATTTTGATGTCAGAAGCAAAGTGTAAAGGCAGATGATCTGGGAGTGAGTGAATATGTTTGGTGAGAAGTTTGGTGTCACTAAAAATGAACTTCAAATGCTAACCTTTTTCTTCCATAGAGAATTGGTAGAAGAGCTTCATCCATTGATGAAAGAGGCTCTAGAACGAAGACCAGAGGTAAGATTTTCTTTTTTTAATTTAAGTAGTTAACACCTTGGTGTATTTGGACAAGGAGTGCCTGGGTAGTACAGACAGTTAACGCGAACAGAAAGGTTGGAGGTTGGAGTCCACCCAGAGACACCTCACAAGAAAGGCCTGGTGATCTACTTCCAAAAAATCAGTGATTGGAAGTCCTGTGGCGCACAGAGCGCCTCTGATACACACGGGGTTGCCATGAGTCAAGCTTGCATCTACAGCAACTGGTTTGGTTTTCGGTTTTATTGGATAATGGTTTCCCCTAAGGAATACAAACACCTCAACATGCTTTTAACAATGAGTCTTAATTTTTTTTAACTTCCGTGATCTTCATTATTTTCCAGTACTTATTGAGTACTTAGTATAATATGGTTCCTATTTCATGTCCTGAGGAGCCCTGGTGGCACAGTGGTTAAGCACTCAGCTGCTAAACAAAAGGTCGGTGGTTTGAACCCACCAGCTGCTCTGCAGGAGAAAGAAGTGGCAGTCTGCGTCTGTAAAGATTACAGCCTTGGGAACCCTATGGGGCCGTTCTACTCTATCCTCTAGGGTCGCTAAGAGTTGGAATCGACTCAACAGCAGTGGTGTTTTTTTTCATGTCCTAACATTCTAAGAGCAAAATGATTTAGTCATATATGTGATGTTATGGCGCTCCTTGTTAGGGCGCTCCTTGTTACGGTGCTCCTTTCTGGGAGGCTTAAGAGTTGAGATTGACTTTTGGGTTTTAGTTTATTTGCCTGTTTTGTTCTGGTTTGTTTGGGGGGAGGCTCTAACCAGGAATTCGGTGGGAAAGAATATTGTTTGTGTCATTGTGGATATGAAGCCTTTCTCTCAACAATAACTTCTCTGAAGTGAATTCTGAAAAGGATAAAGTTATAATGTACCGTGATAAACAAAAATAAGAGTGAAAAGGAAGCCTCCCGTGTAGTCAGTATGAACAAGAAATCGCAGAAATTTGTTATTGTTGTTGTTAGGTGCTGTCGAGTTGATTCAGACTCATAGCGACCCCATGTGACAGACTAGAACTGTCCCACAAGGTTTTCTAGGCCACTAGGGCTCCTCACTATTTATTATAAGAACATGTTTATGCATAATTGGTGGCAAAATGGTTAAACACTCAGCTGCTAACTGAAAGGTCAGCAGTTCAAACTACCAGTGGCTCCACGGGAGAAAGACCTGGCGATCTGCTCCGGTAAAGATTACAGCCTAGGAAACAGCCTAGGAAACCCTGTGGGGCAGCTCTACTGTGTCACATGGGGCCCCTACGAGTCAGAATCAACTCAACAGCCCATTGACTGTGGGTTTTGATACCATCAGCAATGAAGTTTTATAATACACATGTCTGGCCTGAGTGGTTCACAAAGAATTTAGCAGTCTGAATAAGAGCAAACGGTGTTACCTCCGAGACCAGAGCTGATGGGATTCTTACCGTCCCACATTCCTTTGGCTCAGTGGTTAAGCGTTTGGCTGCTAATGGAAGGGTCGGAGGTTTGAGCCCACCAGCCGCTCCACAGGAGAAAGATATGGCAGTCTGCTTCTCTAAAGATTACAGCCTGGGAAACCCTATGGGGCAGTTCTACTCTGTAGCAAAGGGGTCACTATGAGTCAGAATCGACCTGACGGCGTGAGTTTTACGTTCCCTTCCAGGAGTTTCAGGTGGTTTTGTCTCAGCAGACCCTGGGCGCATCTGGGAAATGGGGCTTGTTAGTTCTCAACATTTCCATCTTATAAATATTTATTGACCCACTGGATGATCTGTTTCTCTGAGAGCCTGTAACAGCAAGCATTTTCTCTAAGGATCAGGAAGAAAGAAAAATAAATACGTTTTGTCTTTCATGCTTAGAAAATTGAAAATGGTGAGATTATGCCTTTCCTTGATATGGTTTTCTCAAGCAGAGTTGCTATAGTTTTGCCCGTGTCTGTAACTGGTATTATTACCCCTTTCTACGTAGAACAAGAAACGGCGAGAGCGGCGGGATTTGCTGAGGCTGCAACTACTTAGAATTTTTGAACTTCTGGCTGATGCTGGTGTGATAAGTGACAGGTAGGGGGTCAGAATCCATCTGGGCTCCTCTCTTCTCATCAAACGGGCTTTCTGTCTGTCTCCCTTTCTTTTTTTCTCTCTCTCTCTTCTTTTTTTTCTTTTCATTTAGTACATCACTTTTAACTTTTGTTCAGAAAAGTCAGAAAAAAGCTTGCTTCCTCCCCATCCCCCCATATCCTGCTTACACTGAATATACATAGATCAGGAACAAATTTAATGTGTGAGTTCTGACAGTGAATCTTGTTTTTCGTTAAGTGCACACTACCGTATTTTTATACAAACAATGCACTCTTTATACATTTTCTTGCCAACTGAGCAACACTGCCCGGGTGTCATTTCTGTGAACACACTATGTCAATTCCACACATTATATGGGTGGGCACGTTATTTACATGGGCACGTTATTTGTGGAAAAATAAGATACTTTGACACAAACCCCAGCTGTCTAAAAGCTTGCCTTTCCTTTATTCCAGCACAAATGGAGCCTTAGAACGGGACACGTTAGCCCTCGGAGCTCTGTTCTTAGAATATGTGGACTTGACCCGGATGCTCCTAGAAGCTGAAAACGATAAAGAAGTTGAAATCCTTAAAGATATCCGGGCGCATTTTAGCGCAATGGTCGCCAACTTGATCCAGTGTGTTCCAGGTACTGGGATGCATCACTGCACATTCCCTTTCATGCTTGAAAAACCATTTGTGTTCTCCGTTTGTCTCCTTTCTTCTTTAATCCCAACTGGCCTGTGTGCGTCTGGGATGGAATCCTTGTTTATTCTGAGCTACAATAAAACATGCAAAAGCTGGAACCTGTGTAAGGGGGATCACTGTCAGAGAAGGAAACCTCAAATATTTTCCACTAACAGAGAGCGATAGAAAAGTGGTGAGACTATACCCTGTCAAAAGTGGAAAATTTGGAAGACCCGGAAAAACAAGGCAGTCCCGGCAGGTTCCGGCTCTCCTGGGTTTCACTGTATTTGGAAGTGCTTAGGAGAACAGATTGGGGTAATTCAGCACAGAGTTGGAAGGGGAACAATCAGAATTAAATTTGGCATGATGCTTGTCGTTATTACCGTGTTTGGGTTCCCATCTGAAAATGAACCTATGTGATTTCTATGGGAAGAAGGCAATTCAGGGGACATTCATTCAAAAAGGCTTCATTGCTTCACATTGTCTTATTGTGCTAAGCTGTGAGCATGGGATGTGAGCAGTATTTCTGCATTCTGACTACCCATTCAACACATTAAACAGAATTCTTTATACAGTGAAACCTGTGAAAGCTGGAACTCGACGGGACTGCCTTGTTTTTCTGGGTCTCCCAAGTCTGCCTTTGGCAGAGTGCATTCTCACTACTTTTCTATCATTCATTTTAGTGGAAAATATTTGAGTTTTCCTTCTCTGACATGTTTCCACCTTATGCAGATTCCAGCTTTTGCCAGTTTTTACAGTAGCTTAGTAAATTTTACACGTGATTAAATATTACTTTATCAGGTGAATGGGTGTGAAGCATTCTCAACCAAACAGAAACAAAGAATAAAAATATTTGGTCAGTGTGGTGTAAAAATCAATGCTTTTACTTGAAAGTTTTTTGGCATAATTACAAAAAGCAGCAACTCAACAAATGTTTCCACTCTTTCATTATTTTCACGGTGTATACATTTTTTCTTACCAATACCCCTCATCTTTGAGGGCCTTACTAATCTGAGGTTTGAACTGATTTCTTCAGCTAAAGGAAAGTGTATTTGTTTAAAATAGACAGTCTGTGCATTGTATTTCACAGTTCTTCCTAAAGGCTAGCAGCAGTCAGGAAAACATTTTATATCAAAGCAGCAGCTGACTTGAAAGTGTTGCAGCTTTTCTACACACTGATCAGGAAGCAGTGTCAGGGGACCCATTTTCTCTCTCTGTTTCCCACTCTGAGTCACGGTGCTATTGACTGCAAACAGGAGAGGGAAAGAACACACTTGAAAAGCAAGTTAGTCTTGATTTTTTAAATACATGTTTCATTACCGAAAGAAAACTTGAGTTAGAGAGGGAGGAGAGTCAGGGATAGAAGGAGGATATACAGTGTGTGTCTAATTGCCTCCACAAACAAATGCCTCCTTTGCCATGAGACCAGAAGAATTGGATGGTGCCTGGCTACCATTACTGAACATTTAGATCAAAGATTCTGCAGAGGAATCCTGATCAGAAGACGGAGGAAATGCAGAACAGAATTTCAAATCCTCATGGAATCCAGACATTCTGGAGCCATTGAGGCTGGATAAACCCACAAAACTATTGCCCTGAGATAATCTTTAAACCTTAAACCAAAGAATATCCCCTGAAGTCTTCTTTAAACCAAGCAACAGTTTAGCTTAATTAATAAAGAATGTCTGCCTTAAGCATTTTGCTCTTTTAAAGAACTATCTATAACTGTCTATACATCATATTGACAACAGCAACTCGAAAGGTTAGATACGAAACTTAGGGTTTATGTTAATGGGGGAGGAACAACTCAGAAAACAAGGGTGAAAATAATTGCCAAACTTGAAGAATGCAATCAGTGTCACTGAATTGTAGGAATTGTTGAATTGGTGTGTTTTTCTGTGTATGTTTTCAACAACAATTACAAAGAAAAAAGAAAAGAAAACTTGAGTTAGGACATGATGTCTGTCTCTCCCCAGAACTTCCGAATCATGTAGGATAGTGACATGAGCTGTGCTTGCCTCTGCTTTTCAGTCTAGTAGACCCTTTGCTCTTTGTTTTTCTCCCTAGTTCACCACAGAAGATTTCTGTTCCCACAGCAAAGCCTGAGGCACCATCTCTTCATCTTATTTAGCCAGTGGGCGGGCCCCTTCAGCATTATGTTCACCCCTCTGGATCGGTACAGTGACAGGAACCACCAGATCACAAGATACCAATATTGTGCATTAAAGGTGGGCCACCGTAGACTCAGTGCATGACTTGTCAGATTGATGGCCTCTTTCTTTAAACTCTGATGACCATGGCTTTAAAGGAAGGTTAAAATATATGGGGTGATGTGGTGTGATATGATATGATGATGATATGATGATGATATATGATGTGATGTGATAAGATACAGTATATGATATGATATGATGTGATATGATGCAATACCACACAGTATATGATATGATGTGATGTGATATGATACAATATATGGTATGATATACACATACATAAAATACATAAAATGCCTTTAAAATTTCCAAAATACACACACTTAAACATAGATAGGTCGATAGATAGATATTTGTAAATGTGTAAATATTTCATTAAGGCTCGCAGCATCAAAATGCAAAAATTTTCCAAGCTCTCACTTTTGTCTACTGTCTCGCCTGTGTGAAAACTGTTTTTGCTCTTTTACCCCTTAAGTAGCTGCCTTGACAATTTCCAACAATAAAGGAAAAAGCATTACCTTAAGTTCAAGAACTGCTAAGAGCTATATTCCCTTTTTCTAAGTCTCCCCTTATCCTAGAAGATTGCCAGAAATAAATGTCCGCACTGCTGGAGCTATCCAGAATCTTGAGAAGCGTGATTCTTTACAGTCTAATTGCCTTTAGAAATTCAACTGTATTTGGGCTGTGCCTTATGTACCGAAAAATGCTGACTCTCAGGTTGGCTTCTGACTCAATGGAGCTACTTTAAACCATAGCCCTGATATTCAGTTGGGCCCGCTAACTATGAAGTTAATCAGGATTCCCCCCTTCTCTCACCTTCCCTCACCTTGTCACTTCTTCTCCCTCTCCCCCTCCCTCCCTTGCTTCCTACACCCTCTTCTTCCCCCTCCTCAAAGAAACTCAAGTTTTACATTCTTGATTTTCTTTACGTTTGACCAAGTACTGATCATAATTTTTTACATATTTTTTATATTTTGTCATTTCAGTACAGTAATCTAACATTCATCATCGAAGCAAAATTTGAAAAGTTGTGTTTATCTTATAAACAGAATTCATTCACTTGAAATGGTTAAAGAAATGTTTATTTTAAATACTGGGAAATGATCATTTTGCTTTAAATGTCTTACTCTTGCACCATAAAGATTTGTTATAATCACAAAAGTACGTGTCCACAAAGCTAAATTTGTTCATTTTTAGCTCTTTTTTTTTGAGTAAGATATTTTATTTAACTGAACATGTCCCAAATAGTATCATTTCAACATGTAATCAACATAAACATTTATTAATGAGATGTTTTACTTTTTTTAATGTCTTTGAAACCCAGTGTGTATTTTACACTTTGAGTACATCTATATTTGGACCAGCCGCATTTCAAGGCTCAGCAGCGGGGTTTTTAACTGTTATAAAAAGATGAAAAATTTGGAATCCTTTTTTTTTTTTTTCTTGAATCCACTAAGGAATACTTCAAAAATATTGTGGAAAATAATGACTTTAAAAGGACCCTCATCATTTATAAATCTAATAGTTATGTTTTATAAAGTTAGTTGACTACCATTACATTGTTCTGGGTTTCATTTCCATGTTTTTTTTGTGTTTTTATCATCAGGCAATGTCAGCAGTATTATGCTGTGGCCCGGTCTTTGACAACGTGGGTCTTTCCCCAGATGGCTACCTATATAAGTGGCTTGACAACATTCTGGCTTGTCAAGATTTACGAGTAAGTGTTAGCCAAAAATACATTGTTTTTAAATGTCTCTGGTCTTCTGCCTCAGTTGAGTTACTGAGATACTTAAGCATTGTTTACAACCGCAGTCTCTTCACACACCAACTACAAAAGTGTAGGCTTATGTGTTGTTTGCCTTATACTATGTTGTGTAAGGATCAAAAACACAGTAACATTTACCAAAATTGACCATAAACTGAGTCATAAAGCAAATCTCAACAAAGTTCAGAGGACTGAAATGATACAGAGTATGTTCTGCAGTCACAGTGAAATTAAGCTAGTAATCAATAACAAAAATATAATTAAGAAGTACACTTCCATTTTGGAAGTGAAACATCCAGAAGGGAATTAATGAGAATGATAAAACATTGTGGAAAATGCAACCAATGTCTCTGCACAATTTGTGTGGTAATTGTTAAATGAGAACTTAATTTGCTGTGTATACTTTCACCAAAAAGAAAATAAAATATTATTTAAAAAAAGAAGTACACCGCCAGTTAACCAGTGAGTCAAAGAAGAAATAATAATGGAAACTGGAAAATGTTTTTCACTGAAGAATAATGAAAATACTACATACTAAACTTGTGGGCTTTAAATAAATACAAGCTTAGAATGAAATGTGTAGCATTAAATGCATATACTGTGAAGAAAAAAAGATTGATGATCAATGACTTAATCATGTATCTCAAAAAGTTAGAAAATAGTGTGTCATATCCAAAAAAGTAGAAGGAAGGAAATAGTAGAGATAAGGGAAGAAATGAGACATTTAAAAAATGATGATAATGGAAAGAATCATCAAAACCAAAAGTTTGTTTTTAAAAAAAGACTAATAAAATTGATAAATCCACGGTAAGGCTGATCAAGAACAAGAGACAGAGAAGGCACACGTAACCAATATTAGACATGTAAAGGGAAGCATTACTACAGATCCTACAGACATTAAAAATCAGTGCAAACATATGAACACCTCTGTGCCAATAAACTTGAAATTTTAGATAAAATAGACAAATTTCTTGAAAAACACAACACAAGAAGAAAAGAAAAATCTGAATAGTCATAAGTAATAAAGAAATTCAATCTGTAATTTAAAATCTTCCCACAAAGAAGACTTCGGACCACATGGCTTTATGGGTGAATTCTACCAAACGTTTGAGGCATAAATTGCATTGACAAAGAACATTTCAAGAGGAAATACATTTTATGTGACCAGCATAATGTTTATACCAAAACCTAGTAAGAGTATAAGAAAGAAAAGGCAATCACATTCATGAATGCAAAAACCCTGAGCAAAATATTAGAAAATTAAATTCAGTAATATATTTTTAAAAAGATAATTCATATGACCAAGTTCAGTTTACTCAAGAAATGCAAGCTTGGTTTAATATTCAAGTACCTATCATTTCATTAGTGTACTAACTATATTAGTAGAATAAAGAAGAAATACCATATGATCATCTGAATAGATACAGAAAAAGCATTTTATAAAATTCTACATCCATTCATGAGAAAAACTCCTAGCAAAACTAAGAATATAAAAAGAACATTCTTAATTTGATAAAGGACATCTGAAAAAAAAAAATCCTATGGTAAACATCATAACTAATAGTGAATATTGAAAGTGATCCCGTTGAGATTAGAATGAGCAAGGATGCCCACTTCTATCACTACTATTCAACGTTTTGCTCACAATCTTAGCCGATGCATTGGGAAAGAAGCTATATGACTGAAAAGGAAGAAATAAAACTCATTATCCACAGCTGACACAACTGTATATGTAGAAAATCCAAAAATATCTGCAGATAAAGTGTGATGCAATGGTTAAATGCTCGGCTACTAACCAAAAGGTTGGCAGTTCAAACCCACCAAGCAGCTTCACAGGAGAAAGACCTGGCGATCTGTTTCTGTAAAGGTTACAGCCTAGGAAACCTTATGGGACAGTACTACTCTGTTCTTTAGGGTCTCTAAGAGTCGAATCGACTCTATAGCAACAAGTTTGGGGTTAAGATCTCGGCTACTAACCAAAAGGTTGGCAGTTGGAATCCACCAGCCACTCCTTAGAAACTCTATAGGGCAGTTCTACTCTGTCCTATAGAGTTGGTATGAATTGGAATCAACTTGACGGCAACAGGTTACAGGTTATATACTAAAGGTGCCCTAGTGGTGCAATGGCTAAAAGCTTGGCTGCTAACCGAAAGGTCAGTAGTTCAAACCCGCCAGCCACTCCACGAGAGAAAAGACCTGGCGATCTGCTTCCGTAAAAATTACAGCCTAGGAAATCCTATGGGGCAGTTCTACTGCCACATGGAGTTGCTATGAGTCATAATCATCTTGAAGGCAATGGGTTTTTTTTTTTTTTAAACTTGATTCTATATCTTCCCCAAGAATATTCTTTAAATATGAGTAACTGATTTTCTCCATGTGTTCAGGTTCATCAGCTTGGCTGTGAAGTTGTCGTCTTACTATTGGAACTTAACCCTGACCAAGTAAATCTTTTTAATTGGGCCATTGACCGTTGCTACACAGGATCCTACCAGCTGGCGTCTGGCTGCTTCAAAGCCATAGCGACTGTGTGTGGAAGCAGGTATGAACCCGTAAAGGAGAAAGGTAGCTGTTGTTGGCAAGGGCAACTGTCTTAGTTATCTAGTGCTGCTCTAGGGGAAGGCTTTCTCTCTCTGTTGGCTCTGGGGAAAGGTCCTTGTCTCTTTTCAGCTTTTGTTCCTCGGCTCCTTGGTGATCATCATGAGATATGGCATCTATCTTCCCCCATCTCTGCTTGCTTAATCTCCTTTTATATCTCAAAATAGATTGACTCAAGACACACTCTACACTAATACTGCCTCATTAAGGGAGCAAAGAAACTCCATTCCCAAATGGGGTTATAACCATAGGTATAAAACCCAAAAACCAAACCCTTTAGCATCGAGTCAATTCCGACTCATAATGATCCTATAGGACAGAGTAGAACTGCCCCATAGGGTTTCCAGCGAGCGGCTGGTGGATTCAAACTGCCAACCTTGGTTTAGCAGCCGAACGCTTAACCACTGTGCTTCCAGGGGTCCAGCCACAAGTATTGGTAGGATTTGCAACACATATTTTAGGGGAAGACAATTCAATTCATAACAGCATTAAGGTTGCTCTTCATGATATGAACAATTGAGAGCTGTCTGCTTTTGCAGTTAGCTGAGCAGAGTAAAATCTATGAGAATACAACAGCCTGTATTTCCTCAACAGATAAACTACTCCCTGCAAGTTTACAGGAGCCCTGGTGGCACAGTGGTTAAAGGCTTGGCTTCTAACCAAAAGGTCGGTAGTTCAAATCCACCAGCTGCTCCTTCTCATTGGAAACCCTATGAGGCAGTTCTGCTCTGTCCTATAGGGTCAGTATGAGTTGGAATCTTGACGGCAATGGGTTTTGTTTTTTGGTTTTATAAGTTTACGGCTACGCTGATTTTTCTCATTCTGCCAGGAGAATGGTTTGTGGTTATAGTATCCTTTTTAGTTGCCTGGAAATGTATAGCGAAGTGTTAGAGCAGGGTCTGATAATGATAAAGAGGATGCATAGAGGAATTTCTAGCAATGTTTGTGGCAGGTATGAACTGCAAGCCCTTCCGCCATCTTTAAAACAAACCTGTTGCTGGTTAAGTTGATTCCGACTCATAGTGACCCCACGTGACAGAGTAGAACTGCTCCGTAGGGTTCCCAAGGCTGTAATCTTTACAGGAGCAGACTGCCACAGCTTTCTCCCTTGGAGTGGCTGGTGGGTTATAATCACCAACCTTTCGGTTAGCAGCTGAGCACTTAACCACTGTGCCACCAGGGCTCCTTATTCACAAGAAAGAGCTTATGCATTAAGAGAATTGAAAGAACGCAAGCTCAAGTTTATTTTTGAAAAGACTAGACGGTCAATGTTATTTTTTAATTAGATGTTGCAAACCCAATGGCACAGTGGTTAAGAGTTCAGCTGCTAACCAAAAGGTCGGCAGTTCAAATCCACCAGGCTCTCCTTGAAAACCCTATGGGGCAGTTCTACTCTGTCCTATGGGGTCGCTATGAGTCAGAATGGACTCGATGGCAACAAGTTTGTTTTTTGTTTTTTTTTTCGTTATCTTGAGCTACCAAATGAAAGGAATAAAAGTGAATTCATTTTAAATTCCAGCATATGATAGCTCTAAATGGATAAGCCCGCCAGTCTGGAAGATATCTGATTTTGATAAACCTAAAAGGAGCCTACCAGCTGTTTAAAGGGACAAGTTTCTTCTTTCTTTTATGAAGATAGTAGACAACATTTCATGTCTAACGTTTTCATTTTCTATAATCTTAGTAATAGGATTTTTATTGTATACTTTAACCCCCATCAAAGCTAAAGCAGAGGAGCATGAAGTGTTGATTTTCTGTAGAGCTCTAAGCTCTGTGCCTTGATGTAAGCGTTCATAAAGAGCACGGACACCTGCGGGACGTTTTACCAAAATGTTTTTGCAAAAATCTTTTCTCCTGAGTATTTTTTTCTAGATATTTTTACATTCTAAAAATAAATTTTTGTTCACGTGACTCTTTGATTTAAACAAGAAGTATTTAGAATCTATGGCATGAGTCTTTTGCTTTGATGAGAGTGAGAGCAATCTCTACGGCTCTTCCCCCGTGAACTTTGTTTGAACTTCCCTAATCGGATTTACTCCGCTGTGCAGCCATCCCGTAAAATAGCAGACTGCCTTCCTCTCAACAGATCTAGGTATGAATGCTTCCGGAATGTAGCAATACAGTCTCAATTTCAATAAAAATATCTCCAGTCACAAAAATATTAGGTGATAAAACCCTCTGTGTTTGGACTGGATTTTTTAGGTCTCGTTCTAAACTATTTTGGTTTCCTGGATAAACATTGCATAATAACTTACATGCATGACGCTCATCTATTCTTAAACCCACTGCCGTCGAGTCGATTCCGACTCAGTGATCCCATCCATGTGAGAGAGCAGGACCATCCCATAGGGCTTCCTCGGCTGTCATCTTTACGGGAGCAGATCGCCAGGACTTTCTCCTGCGGAGCTGCTGGGTGGGTTTGAACTGCAGACCTTTCAGTTAGCAACTGAACACTTAACCGTTCTGCAAGCAGAGTTCCTGATACTTACATATATATAGTACTTTAGATGAAGGATTACAGAGGAAATTAGTTTCTCATTAAACAATTAATACACATATTATTTTGTGACACTGGTTGCCAACCCCACCACATGTCAACACTGTCCCTTCTCTGCCTTGGGTTCTTCATTACCAACTTTCCTGTCCCCTCCTGCCTTCTCGTCCTTGCCCCTGGGCTGGTGTGCCCCTTTAGTCTCGTTTTGTTTTATGGGCTGTCTAATCTTTGGCTGAAGGGTGAACCTCAGGAGTGACTTCATTACTGAGTTGAAAGGGTGTCTGGGGCTGATCCTTAATATATTGATCCATATATTTATTAGCTGTATTGATGGAAAAACAATGCAGTTCTTTACATTCTTTTTTTGATTCATTTTATTTCTGTAAAGGGCCATCTAAAGACGGTAGGATATAGTACCAAAACCAAACCAAGCCCATTGCCATCGAGTCAATTCCAACTCACAGCAACCCTAAAGGACAGAGTAGAACTGCCCCATAGGGTTCCCAAGGAGTGGCTGGTGGATTCAAGCTACTGACCTTTTGGTTAGCAGCCGAGCTCTTAACCCCTGGGCCATCAGGGCTCCTATAGGCTGTTCTAGCACGGGAGTATTCATCCCCTATAATGCCCTACTGAAAAACGCATAGTAGGGAACCATGTAGAACAGGTGGTTAAGGTAGAGGTTCTTCCTGATCAATAGAATGTTAACAGATGTATTAATTTGAAATGCCTATTAAATTATTAAGGAGCCCTGGTGGTGCAATGGTTAGATCTTGGCTGCTAACCAAAAGGTCGACAATTTGAACCCACCCAGCGCCTCTGTAGGAGAAAAGACCTGGCCGTCTGCTGGATTACAGCCTGGAAACCCTATGCGGCAGTTTTACTCTGTCACATGGGGTTGCTATGAGGTGGAGCCGACCCGATGGTACTCAACAACAGCAGCAATTAACTTATTATCTAGCTTTTATTTTATTTCCCTCCCCAGTTATTATGCACTTACAATTGTTATTATTTTTCACAAACATGTTAATTAGCATGGGCCCAGTGTCTAGAAAAAAAAAAATTAAACTAAAAAAACAAAAATAGAGCTAACCATGGCTTATTAAACTGAGGCTTTAAGTCTTCCGGAGTTTTGGTGTGTGAGAGAGAGAGGGCTTGTTTGTCCGTAGTCACACTCAGACTCTGAGGGTCTTGACAGAAGGTCAGAGCGGAACCTGAATAGGAGCAGGAGCAGTGAGGACAAAAGTAGAAAATGATGACAGAAACGGCAAGTTCATGTTCAAGAATTTTTCAAAAATAGGTTTATACATTTGATGAAAAGCTATTAAATGCAGCTCAGGCAGCTTTAGCTCAGATAACTGTTGGCTTCTGTGCCTATTCTTATGAATTTTCCTGTCAACACCCAAATGCCGTCAGTATGGAACAGATGAGGAAGTTAAGAAAGAGATTAAATGGCATTTCCAGGGTGATAAATCAAGGTAAATAGTATGTGCTGTAATAAAATTATAGGCCATTTCCAAGCACTAGCTTGATGCCCAGAATTCTTTTGACATCTCATTAAATGCTACAAGGAATTCCACTGTTTTCACTTTTACCCCTCAACATATTTCTAAAATATGTTCAATAGTTTTCTTAAAACTACATGTAAGATCGAAGGTTTGACTTTTAAAGAATTTTGTTGGGTTTATTTTGAGGTGGTTTTTGTTGTTGTTGTTCTATGCTTGTGTGATGCTTTAATTTAACTTTCTATAAACCCTTCCTAATTTAAATCAGGCTCAGCAAAATTATATTCTTAAAAGTAAATGCCTCCATTTCTTAACAAAGTAAAACTAAACCAAACTCATTGGCTTTGAGTCCATTCCGAATAATGGCGACCCCATGTGTTACAGAATAGAGCCGTGCCCCGTAGGGTTTTTTTTGGCTGTAACCTTTACAGAGAAGATTGCCAGGCCTTTCTCTTGTAGTGCCACTGGGTGTGTTTGAACCACCCATTTACACCACCCGTGGACATTTTTAAAGGAATATCATCCATTCAGCAAAGAAGGTAGGCGAAGCTTATGGTTCGTCAATCCAAATCGCGCCCCCTAACTGGTGAGGCCCAGCCTCTTTTGGTTGTGTCAGTGGCTGGCGTGCCCCGAGAGAGCAGAGTTTGGAAATTTGGGCTCCAACGCAGACTATCTTGTATTGAAATGCAAGCTCTGCCTTTAGTCAAACTGTGCCCTTCAGCAAGTACTACAAATGTTTACTTATTTGTAAACTGAGGGTGATAATAGGATTAAAGATTAAATAAAACCAATTTCTTAGTCTGAGTCCTTGCACATGGAAAGCCCTCTACAAACACTATTATTATTTGCTAGTTGTTGGAGGAATGGAGCTTTGGTAACGCAACGGTTAAGCGCTCGACAGGTTTGAACCCACCCAGCAGCTCTGTGGGAGAAAGACCTGGCAATCTG